TGGGTGGGGGGGGGGGGGGGGGGGGGGAGGGTTGTTAGCACCCCTCTCCCTACCCAGGCCTGCCTGGGGCCCGAAGGGTTAACAGCACTTCCTTCCTCCCCCACCCTGTATCTCCTTTTCCATTGTAGCCCAACATCCTTCCTGTCTCTGGGACAGGATTCCTGGCAGCCCCTCCCCGCCTGTTCAGAACAGAGAGTGTGTGTGTGTGTGGGGGGGGCACAGCTGGGCGATGGGAGAAGTGGCTGGGGTGGGGGTGGGCTCAGTAGGAAGCAGTCAGAGCAGGCCCCAATATGGGAGGGGTGCTATAGGGAGTGGGGCAGGCGCTTGGTGGGGGGCAGTGGCCCAGGGGAGTGGCTGCTGGCCCCAGTGCAGTGCTGTGTTGCAAGGAAGGGGTAAGGGGCGCTTTCCCCTGTAGGACTCCATCAATTCCCTCCCCCAGCCATACCAGATGCAGCTCAGGGAGGGCTTCAGGTCACTGGTTTATGACCCGAATGTCACTGGTGCACACTGGTCACAGACAGGCTGTACTCCCCCAGCGCACTCAGCCCCCCGATACATCCGTGGGGGAGACCTGGCCTCCCACTGAACACCTGCCCCCACCTCCTTCCTACACACCCAGCACCCCTCGCCTCGCCTCGTCCCCAGCCCTTCCTCCCCTTTACCCACCTAACCTGCCCTAGCCCTTCGCTCCTGCCATGCACTAGTTCCCCCCGCCCTCCTTCCCCTTCCCTTCCCCCCCAAACCCGAGTTCCCCGCGTCCCCGTCTCCATCACAGGCACCTGTCACGCCCCCCTCCCGCCGCTGCCCCACCCGATCTAGACTCCCAGCCTGGCCCGAGCGGCCCACTCTAGCCACCCCTCCCCCCGCCTGTCATCTCCCCCCACCCGTCGTAGCCTCCCCCCGCCCCAGAGCCAGCCCGCCCGCCGGCCGGGCTGGGGGATGCGGTGCCGCTGCTGGCATTTGTGCCGTTCGCATTGTTATTCCCACGTCACGGCTTCCTCCCCCTCCCCGTTCCTCCAGCATCGCTCCGAGCCGCAGCCCCGCTACCCACCCCCCGCCCCGGCGGGTCCCCGCCGCAGGATGCGCCGGCTGCACTGAGCCCCGGCAGACACCAGCACCGCGGGGGCGCGCACCCTCTGCCGGGATCCCCCGCCCCGGGAAGGGGGGAACCATCCTCCTCTCCCTCCGCCGGGCTCAGCCCCTGCAGCCCGGACCCCCCGAGCCGCGCGCCGCTGGAAGGGGGCAGCTGGCTGCGCTGGGGACGGTGCGTCTTGGAGACGGGGGTCGCGCGCCCCCCCCTCCAAAAGCCGAGAATCGTCCTCGAAGGTGGTTCGTGCGCGACAAAGAAGAGGATCGTGCGGTTCCAAGCAGCCAAAGTGCGTGGTTGGGAGGGAGCCTGCGCCCCAAAAGAGGCGATTCCACGGCCCAATGGGGCCCGTGCGCCCCGAACGAGCTCAGGTCGCTGGGTAGGGCCCGTGCGCCCTAACCGAAGAAGAAGGGGGGTTCCGTGCGCCCCGAAGGTGCCAAGGTCGGTGACTGGGGGGCCCGGGGGCCCCGAAGAAGGGGGGCTTTGTGCGCCCGAAGGAACCAAGGCCTGTGGCTAGGGGGGCCCGTGCGCCCCGGAGGAGCAGGGGCCTGCGCCAGGGGAAGCTGCGGGACGGGGGCTGATCTGCGGGCGGGAGGAGGCGGGGTGGCGGCGCTGGAAGGGGCGGGGGAGCAGGAACCACCTTGCGGCAGCGCGATGGGCAGCGAGGCCGGCGAGCCGGCGGCCAGCCGGGCCCTGGCCCAGCTGAGCGACTCGGAGCTGGGCGGCTACAGCAAGGAGGAGCTGGTGCGGCGGCTGCGGCAGGAGGAGGCGGAGAAGCTGGCGGCGCTGGTGCAGCGGGGGCGGCTGATCCAGGGCGTCAATCGGCAGCTGCAGGAGCATCTGCGGGAGATCCGCGAGCTGAAGCAGGTGAACGAGCGCTTGGCGGCCGAGAACCGCGAGCTCCGCGACCTCTGCTGCTTCCTGGACGACGACCGGCTGAAGGCCAAGCGGCTGGCCCGGGACTGGCAGCTGTTCGGGCAGCAGGCGGCCCGGGTGCTGCGGGACGAGCTGGCCTCCTGCCTGCACAAGCTGGCCGGGCTGGAGGGGCTGCAGGAGCGCCTGGCCGCCGATAACCTGGAGCTCAAGGCGCTCTGCCTGGCGCTGGAGGAGGAATGCGCCGCCCGCGCCGACAACAGCCCCGTCGGCTCCTCGGAGCTCAGCCTGCCCTGCGGGCCCCGGGACCTGGGCGACGGTAGCTCCAGCACCGGCAGCGTGGGCAGCCCGGACCAGCTGCACCTGGCCTGCTCGCCCGAGGACTAGAGACTCCCCCGGCGGGGGGCCGGGACCCACCCGGACTAGAGACCTCCCCAGGGGCCTGCCCCCCAGGACTGTACTCTCGCAAGGGGCCAGGAGCCCCCCATCAAGGGAGCTGCTCCCAGTGACTTCACCCAACCGCCCCCACCAGAAGGACTGGAGAGCAGAGGATCCCCCCCTCCCCCCGCAGGCTGTGGCAGGGGTCTCTCCCCTGGGATCTGGGGAAGGGCTGCTGCAGAGGATGGGGAGGGGGTTCACCTCCGTGAAGATCCCAGTGCAGACTTTGGGGGTTAGGGAATGGAGCTGGTTACTGGGGGGGAAGGTCAAAAATGCATTTTGGGTGCAACCCCCCCGAAGCAGCGTCTCTCTGGCTTCTTCAGCAACCCCTCTCCCCCCAGGTGCTAACTCCAACCCCGCGGTGTAGTGAGAGCAGTTTGACTCAGGGGACGGGGAGATTAGGGCAAACCCTCCCCCAAAAGAAGTAAAAATAAATGTTTTAAAATTGCTACTTTGGGCAGAGTCCGTGTCTCCTGATTGGTGATTTCCTGCTTCTCTGAGCCCGGAATGTTGGGTCCTACACGGTATGGCCCCAGTGTGATGAGAGAGGGGAGAGAGAGCTTATTGTCATTTTCTTTCCGGGACTCTAATTGTTCCAGTTCCTACATATCCTGAGTCCGTTCAGTTTAGATTACAGGATTTGTTGAGTTTGCAATGTCCTATTTTCTCTATTTTGGGAATGTCACAGTTCCTTGCTATCTAGATTTCAGCTCCAAGTGTCCGAGTTCCCGATTTGCAACAGTAAAGAAAAAAAGTTTCAGTGAAACACCAGTTCAGCTGTAGAAAGGATGGGGGGGGGGGGAGAGAGAGACAAGCTTAACCTCTATGTTCTTAGGGTGATTTATATCCACTCACCATGGCCCAGCCCCATAGAAATGTCCAGTGCCTGCAGGGGATACAAGGTTGGGAGCCTTGGGACACCGAAGGAGGGATGTGGAGATACCAGGGGGCCGTGGGTTAGGACTGAGGGGCCCGGGCAGGGCTGTGGAAGAGCCCAGGGTTGAGATAGCAGGGGCTGTGTTCAAAGGGGACAGGCTGTAGGTGGCTGGATACTGGATAGTCCAGGCTCCATGAAGTAACTAGTTCCCCATGTCTTGCTCAGAACAGGGATGGGTCCCGCCGTCCCTTCCTGCCCAGCCACATCTCAGAGACAAAGGGCTGCCAGGCCAGGCCAGGAAGCAGATGTCCGGATCCTGAGGCCATGATAAGTAAGAGCGGACAGCAGCGATCCAGCTCTCTCTCCCCAGCTGTACAAACCCAGGAGCCTCCAGGCTGGGAGGATCTGGGGAGGGGGCTGTCCCCCAACCCACCAGCCAGGAGCATAGTAGGAAGCCAGGGCGGCTACTTGGCATGCAGAAACTTTGCCTATGGAGACATGGTAACTAGACACAAAGCACTGGGCTGCAAGCAGTGGGGTGGGGGGCGCTCTCCCCTCGCAGTCAGTTCTGACACCAATGCTCCAGCGAGGCAGTAGGGGGCACTGTGCTGCAGAGAATAGGGGGGCTCAGTAGAGGGCATTCTGGCCTCACAGTCAGCGCTGACTCCAGCGCCCCACCCCTCACTAGGGGGCACTGTGCTGCATGGAGGGGGTTGGGGGCTTTCAAGTTCCCAACAGACACAGGCCCAGGCTGTAGCAGCTATGCCTGCTGCCCACAGGAGGCCAGGAAGTGCCTGTTTGTGTTAGTGCTGCCTCACCGGACCTTTGCAAGGGCTGGCAGGTAGACAATGCATCACTCCCCTACGTACCCCCTCCCCAGCACCATGCATAATGGAGCACGGGGATGTGGTCCCCAGCCACCTGCACACCCACTAATTCTTGCTTCTGCTCCTCCACCCTGGGCTTTCATGCTGGCAAGCATGGACTCCTGGCTTGGGTGCAAGCTTAGACCTTAGCAGCCCCTAGTGGCAGCATGCGACTCATGGGGACCAAGCACACACACTGTTTTGTATCCAGCACAGTGGGGCCCCAATCCCTGCCTGGGGCCCCCAGGTGTTTCCCTGATACAAATATTATCCACCCTCCTGGCCCCAGCTCTGCCTGACTGAGCATGGAAAGTCCCTACTCAACCGTGTGTTTGTGTCAATAACGTGATAACCTTTGAACACTGCATCCAGTCCATTCCACAATGGCTGAATGTCCACAACAGGCAGAGCCAGTGCTTATTTGTGCCAGGGTTGAGCCCCGGCACCTCTGGGCATGGCAGTTCCTAGCCCCAGCACCTCTGGGCTTGGCAGTTCCTAGCCCCAGCACCTCTGGGCTTGGCAGTTCATAGCCCTGGCACCTCTGGGCTTGGCAGTTCATAGCCCTGGCACCTCTGTTTGCTGTATCAGGTATGAATATAAAAGAATTGTTTGAGCCCCTTTCATTACAAATTAAGCACTGGGCAGAGCCCTATGGATTTTGGGGGAAATCCAAAAAGCCAGAGAGGGTATCCACAGCCCCCCGCATGGGAGAGGTTGGGGGACTGTGGCATGGGGAGGAATGGAGAAGGGGTGAACAGAGCCTCTGGTGGGGGGAAGAAAGGGGATCCCGGCGTTATGTGCGGGAAGAGTGCCAGGTGGCAGTGGGAGATTGGTGGGCAGACAGAGCCTGGCAGGGGGGAGATTGGAGGGAGTCCCTGAAATCGAGAACAATGGGCAGGTGGCACCCAGGGAGCTGTGGGGTGAATGGCAGGGTGCAAGGAGCCCTGCTGAATGTAATGCACTTGGCTGACAGAAGCAATAAAATGTTTGAGCCCTTAGTTACTTTTATTCCCCATATGATGGAACTGGGCATTATGTCAGCATCTGACATTCCCAGGGACCTCTAGAGGTCTACCAAGGTGTTTATAGGCCTCCCATCACTGTGTCGTCAGGCCTCTTGTGGTCATTTAGGTTTGTATCCTTACAGCATCCCCTGCAGTAGTGCCGTCGCCATTGCATGGGGGAAAACTGAGGCACAGAAGAGCTGAACCCAGGAGCCCTGAGTCCGAGCCCAATACACCACTTCTTGGCTAGGAAAGGCTGAACTTTAGAGATGTTATGAAGAAAGAACTGGGGAGATTTAGCCACAGCCTAGATGTGAGCACCTAGAGAGAGGTCTGAGATGAAGATGATGCCCAGGTTAGGGGCCTGAGTGACAGGCAGGATGGGGGTGGTGTCCACAGTGACTGAGAAAGGCGGTAGGAGGGAGGGGGAGATTCTGAGCTCTGGTTTAGCCATGTTGTGTTTGAGCCGACCGACAGACAGCCACGAGGTGATGGCAGAGACAGGCAGAAATTTCAGTGTGGACAGGAGGGGATGGGTCTGGAGCAGAGAGATAGATCTGTGAGTCAGCAGCATAGAGATGGTAGTTGAATTTGTGTTCGAGGATGAGATTACCCAGAACTAAGGGGAAGAGGGAGAAGAGACGGGGGCCAAGGGCAGAGCCCTGTGAAACACCCACAGAAAGGAAAATCCTTCAAGGGACACACTAGGAATGATTAGAGAGGTAGGAGGAGAACCAGGAGAAGACACAGTCACCGGAGCCAAGGGAGGACAAGATTTCAAGAAGAGCATAGCTGAGTGACCCCATCAGCCATCTTGGACACAAAACAGATATGGATGGACAGGGACAGAATCCAGGAGTCCTGGCTCCCAGCCCTAATCACTAAACCCCCACTCCCATCCCCCAGCCAGGGACAGAACCCAAGAGTCCTGGCTCCCAGCTTTAACCACTAAACCCCACTCCCGTCCCCCAGCCAGGGACAGAACCCAAGAGTCCTGGCTCCCAGCTTTAACCACTAAACCCCACTCCTCTTTCCCAGCCAGGAACAGAACCTTGGAGGAACTGGAGATGGTGCCTGTATGAGGCAGCTAGTATGAAGCTGAGAGTCCCTGTCCCCACCCCACATTGTCACAACTCACCCCTCTCCCCATGCTCAATGTGATTCCTCTGGTGTCGGGGGAAAGAGAACTTCCTCTGGTGAGGGAGCACAACACCCTCCCCCTCCCCCAACCAGGGACCATCCCAGCCAGCTCCTGTGACAGGTTCCAAGCAGCATTCTCTGCTGGAAACACACAGGGAGCGCAGATTTGGTATAACCAGAACCCTTCCCTACAGGCCCCCCTCACTGCATTGCATTGCACACCCTGGGGCAGGGTGGGAGAGAGAATGAGGACAGACCTTAGTTAGGTTGCTTAATGCCCGACCGGGTAGGTGCCAGGATGCCACAGTGATGGGTGTGGGAGATGCCGTGTGCAATAGATACAGCCCAACGGGGTCCCATGCCTCAGCCTTTGTATAGTCTCTTCTGGGAGTGCCCCCTTTAACATGCCAGACCCTGGACTCAACTTTTTGCCAGGGTGAGCCCCGTGGCTCCATCGTTCAAGGACTGGGCCCTCAGGCTCCAGCTCCCCTGTTTCTCACTGGCACTCCCAGCGAGTTCTGATGGGTTCGGATCACTGGCAGAGATTTCTGCTTGTCAGGGAGCAATGCCATCAGGGAGGATCTGCTGTGAGATGGGGCAGGCTTTTCAGAGCAAGTTGGGGATTGTTAGTCAGCTGGAATCCAGCACCAAAGGGCCCTTAGGTGAATAGAGGGAAGGCAATACTGAATTCAGAGTCCATCACCAGCCTCACTTCCCTAGGCCTCCTGGACCCCAACTCTCTATCTGGGTCCCTGACTCTTTGTCCTGAGCAGCCGAGTCCTTAATGCTGTCCCCTGCCGCCCAGAGGATTCAGGGGGCCTGGGGCAAAGCAATTTTGGGGGCCCCTTCCATAAAAAAAAAGTTGCAATACTATAGAATACTATATTCTCGTGGGGGCCCCTGCGAAGCCTGGGGCAAATTTCCCCACTTGCCCCCCCCCCGACCCCAGGGCTGGCTCTAGGTTTTTTGCCGTCACAAGCAAAAAAAATTTTGGCTGCCCCCACCCCAGCCCTGGGCTCCCCCGCACACCCTCCTGCTGCCGCAGCCCTGGGCTCTCCCTCCCACACCTGCACCCCCTGCTGCCCCAGCCCTGGGCCTCCCCTCACCCATATACCCCCCTGCCGCCCCAGCCCTGGGCTCTCCCCCCCCCCCGCACCCTCCTTCCGCCCCAGCCCTGGGTCACTGGTAACTTGCTCCCAGAGTGGGTCATTCAGCAGGAATTTTGGATGTGCATAGAACAGACAGGGTTGGTTCCTATATGGTTACAGAACTGCAGTAAAGTGGAACAATTTTCAGCTTGTGTGATTGGAGGGTATCTGGATGCATATTATAAGACTGTCCTCCATAAATGGGGAAAAGTTGAGGTGCCTTTATTATTCTTTTGTTCCACTCTTTGTTTCTATGGGGAATTTGCCAATGCAATATCACTGTCTTCCTTTTAAACAAACAAAAAAAAGCAATGGCTGTTGAAAATAGCAATTCCAGTCCTAAAAACCACTGGGAAGCATTTCTTGCTCAATTTTATCCTACTTTTTCTACAGCAAGTTACAGTGGATCAGTATAT